TCGATTTAGGAATTTATGAGCGCAAAATTAACAAATATTTTTACTATTCTTTTAGTGTGCTGTAGAGTGAAAGTGCTTGAAATACTTTTTCTTCAGTTTTAAGGAGATCAAATTGTCAGCAAAAATATTTCAATTCACAAAATAATTTAATGAAAAATAGAAAAAACAGATATGCAAAAATTTATAGATACTGTGAATATATTTCCATTTGCGTTTAAAGACTGGGTAAAGTGAATTTCTATCTTATTTAATCGTTTGAAATTCAATATTATCCAAGTGATAAAATAAAAGCCATGAATTGTTTAATATCGCAGTACAATATACACACATTTCCTCACAACTTTAAGGCACTCCTATTTATTATCTTAAGTTTAACATTTCCTGTTGACCTTCATTTCATACACCTTGCGGCCTGCGATGCACACAGTACACAAATGAAAATAAATAACCGAAAAAGGTTCAAGTCAGTGGGGTCACTTAAATATCTGCTCAACTGTCCATTCGTTTTATTTTCTTTTTCTTTTATTTCTACAGCTGCTTATGAGACTTTGGTGCGCTGCAATATTTTTGTAATCAGTATCTATGTTCTCTATGTCCGCTTTGTTTTATTCTCTGCATCTATGATTCTTAGATATGCATATATCCTTTACGTGATTTTTATCTTTGGCTTTCACGTTTATTCACTTTTAAGGTCGAATGTCTTGTGTTTTCCCATATCACTTACGAAATTAGGTTTTCTGTGAAGCTACTGAAATGCTTATATACAATACATCCTTTAAGTATTCTTTATATGAATATGTGTAAGTTAGTATTCGCATATTTCATTTCTAAATATATTGCACTATTTCTTGTTTAATTTGCTAAATTTTTACCACTAAAAATCATTGTTACTTACAGCTGGCTCATTTGGCTTGAAAAGACTTTTCTGTGGTACCGGGGCGTATGAGTAACATTTTGAGATATATGAAAACTCCACATGGTGGACTAGCGTTAGTTTATTAGTGAAATATATTAATTAAATATTTTAAAGTACCTTTAAGGTGCACTTTATATTTTGAGATAATTAAAACTTTAAAGAAAAATTTTTTATAAACAAAATCTTTTGATATATATCATATCAATTATACTAGTTAAATTGATATTGGATTTTCGGTTCCAGATCTACAACCTAAACTAAAAGGGAAATAGTCGTTAATTCTTTTCATTTTCTTTTTTTTACCGATGAATTCCACCCAACCATAGAAATAGAAAATTCAGCAGACCGGTGACGATAGTCTGGACTACCCTCACGCGGAAGGTTGCGGCTACAGTTAAGGAGTCTTAACTGTATAGATGGTCAAGGTATGATAAAGTTAAGTTCGCTTACCATTGTCACACCCATTCGCGTGTGATTCACGTAGCGAATGAAAGCAATATTCATTTTATATATAATATAAATGACTATGCCTAGTAGCAGAAAAATCGATATTGGTGAGACTTTTATCATTAGATCCTACCTTGGTCGATTTGGAAAAAGAACTGGTTTTTATATGAAAGCAGCTAAATAGCCGTCATATTTGTTCATGTTTCAGAATTGGCTAATGATTAGGATTAATAGAGTGTAGGTAAGGTAAGTAGGGTCCAATGGAGAAATCGGCGACTGCTTTTACCAGTATGACAGTTTTTATCTTCGATTATTAAAAATTAAAAAAAAAATTAAATATTATCTATACTTATGATTTCCGAGAATACATTCCGAAATATATTATTATAAAACGGTTTATGAATTTTCATGCTATTTTTTATCGGAAAGGGTTCCAAATTATGTAGTCTTCAATTTTTAATGTTAAATTGAAATATTTCTTCTACAAAGTAATATAATATCTAGACTTAGGTTCATAGTCCCACTAAAAATTTCAAGTAGAGCAAGGAAAATGAACAAAAAACTTCAGCAACGTAGGCAGCGTGACTTAAACAGGTAAAGCAAAGAAAGTAGGAATAAAGATTGCTATAAAAAAAAAATTACAAGAAAAATGTACGAACAATGTTAACTCTCAACTATGGTTTTAAAAAAAAACCATTCTCAAGGTTAGATTACATTTAGGTTTAATATAAATGCCAGAATAAAACTTGTTCAAAAGTTAAATATTCAAGTAGTGATAATTTTTTTGAGAAATAGACAGTGTACGAACTATTGGAAAAAACGTATTTATAGTTCAATTCGGGTCAAATCTTCAAAAGAAGTCATTTTTGCATCGGTCACTGGTGATGAAAAATGGATTCATTATGATAATCTGAAGAGCTAGAGATCGTATGTGAAGCCCGGCCAACCATCAATATCTACGGCAAAGCCGAATATCCATGGTGCCAAGATTATGCTATGTATTTGGTGTGACCACAAGGGTGTGCTCTATTATGAGCTATTGAAGTCAGACGGTCAATGGGGACCTCTATCGAAAACAATTGATTCGTTTGAAAAAGGCCATCGCGGAAAAACGACCAGAATATTCTGGTCGCATATCACGAATCAATAATTTTCATCATGACAACGCTCGGCCACATGTGGCAAGGCCAGCAAAAAGCTATTTGAAAAACTGTGGGCGGGAAGTTCTACCTCTCCCGCAGATTGCTCTCACCATATTACGCTTCACTTCAGAACAGCGTATCAGAAATTTGCTCGATTCTTTCTTGACCTCCAAGCCGAGAAGTTCTTTTGAGTTGTTCATTGAGTTATCTGCTGTGCAATGTTTTGAACATTAAATGTACGTGTATAACAATAAAGTCTTAATTTTCGGAAAAAAAATCGCTCGAAAAAATGCGTATACCAATATTATTTTTAAATATTATAACAAAAGAATCATACGTTCACAAAATAAGTTTCGAACATGTACAATAATGTTACGTCGTCAAAAAGAGCTTGGTACACCGGCATGTAGAAAAATAAAAGTTATTTGTACACTAGCCACCTCATACAGGCAGGTTTTCCGACCCACTGAATCAACTTATTCAGTCGGTTTTGACTGAACACTGTTCAATATGGAGTAAATTCCAAATATTGTTAAATGTGCAAAATAAATAGAAAGTTTCGGTTCCAAAAAAAAATATATATATTTCAAAGCAACCAATAAAAATAATGCCATTTCGTTTTGCTAATACGAAACATAAACTTATCGAAATGTTTTTGTTTCGTTTCGGCGCCATGTTAACGGAATGAGATTAAATTGTTCATGTTGAAATCGCAAAAACCCAGCGTTAATGTTATTTTTAAAATAGCTGCCTGTTATGATATCAACAGCATAAATTAATTTTAAAATTTAACAATATCTGTTAACGATATAACATTAATTGTTAACGATTTGTTATTATCTGTTAACGTATAACATTAACGGTTATCGATTTAACATTTCGAAACGAAAAAAAAACGAAATAAAGTTTTTTGTTTGATAATTAATTTAGCGATAACATTTCCAAATGTTTCAAACGAAACGAGTGAAAGTTTTCGATTAACGTGAAATTTAGTGATACGATGCAGCCTTGATTTAGAGTAATTTTTTAGCTATTAGTTAAATCAACTAGACGTTTTCAAGCTGCTGTTTATGATAAATATTTTGATATCGAGTAGCGGATTCTTATTGCGTTTGGGATAATCTTCATTTCCATATATTTTTTACCATTACTAATTCTCGCTTCAAAGCTCGCTATCATGAAGCAGTCTATGGTTTTGCTATAAATTTAGTAAGATTGCGAAAAGTTTTCAAATAATTAATAAGTTGTGATAACCAAAACCAACTTTTATTTATTATTAGCTTAGCTTTTGTTTTAATATAACTCACATGCGCTTGATTAAACCATAAAGGAGATTAAGGGAGGGGTAAGGCTACTGTAAACGCCTAAAGACACCTTTTTTAAGCTTTTTTTTTGTATATAGAAAAAAAGGTAATACAATTTTAATGTTTTGATCTCTTATTAGTTTCATATTTAAATAGAAAAAAAATTTTGGGTTTAGTTTTATGTAGCTGTCTCAGACCATATATTTTTGAGAAATTTTGGTAATTCAAACAAGGGTATCTGAAAAAAGAAGTATGAAAGGGAAAACGGGTTGGTTTCCGGAATAGCAGCTACAACTTCTACTGTCCGAAACTGTTGTTGCAATTTTTTCACATATTCCCAAAAATAGATGGTCTAAAACAATTTCATAAACTAAACCCAAAAACAATTCTACAGTGAAAAGTAAAAAAAAATTTAGTTTACAACAAAAGTATGGTGCAAGGTTTAAAAAAAAGCCAATTGAAAATATTGAAAATTCTTAGAGTTGAGCTGCGTGCCAACTTCAAAAAAGACCGTGATTCGAAAAAAATGCATTTAAAATTTTCATACTTACAAAATATGAATCAGAGCTGCCCGAAATCGATGTCGAACATGTATTAGACCCTTCGGTCCTTATACTAGGTTCAATAAATACATTAATATATTTTTAGCCAATAAAAAATCAATTTTTTGGAGCATCTACAGTGGCCTTACCGCTTAATTAATAAATTTCCGCGCTTAAAATATTATTTTCATTCGCATTATAAGCCAAATGTATTGCATGCACAAGAATTTTAATTGCACTAAAATATAAGCAATGAAGCCATGCAATTTAGTAATATGAATTCATCTTACCTAGCGAGTAACACTATTCACTTAAATATACGCCGAATCTGTTTTACACTCTCCGCAAAATACTCAAACTCAAATCAAATGCGCTACACGAGCCACATAAACCACAAAATCTTTGCTGATTTCTATCCATCGATATTATCACCGATTAATCTACAATTTTCACCTGCGATACGTAATAGAATGCGCATGCAGTTAACTCATACACAAAACAGCTGTGCATGTGTTGGCCAAACAAAATTTCAATTCAAAATTTCGAATACTAAACAGTGCTTATTGTACTTCCCCGTTAATTAATTAAGCACTTTTCAGCAATTTGTTATAAAGCAAATGTTTCACAAATTTTCATTGATTTCAATTTGTTTTTTTTTTTTCTTTTTCCTTTGGTTGTCGTTTTGCTTTAGGTAGTGTTGTTGCACATCTTTATAGACAAAACAAATTCTGTTATTCGCGCTGTTTAAATTTTAATTCGAATCTATGCTCATTTTGTTATTGCACTTTTCTATTGTTTTAATTTTGTGTAGTTTCTTTTTCGTTCTTCTCTTAGAGTGGGTGTGTTTGTGTTTTTTTTTCAGCTCATTGCAGATTTCACTTGTGGCACATTTTGGCGCGTTACTTAACGACTCAACGCAATGCACTTTCTCTTAAGCACTTTTCACAGCAGCTTTATTTTATTTCTTTCTTTCGGATTTTAATTGAATATTTAAGATTTTTAGCAAACATTTCATTTTATTTGTCTACGATGAAGAACATTATTTAAAGCAACATGTTTCTAGGAGAAATAAATCATTTGCTGTATTCAGGTGCAAAAAATACAAAAACCGAGTTTTGCAAGTGGCTAATTGGAATGAAGTTAGTGAGTGAGTGAGTGAGTGAATGTTTTGAATCTTGTGCACTAGAACAAATAGCCAGGAGAGTTCATTTCAGATTGTAGCCTTTATGACATGAACAATGAAAATAAAAATAAAAAAAAAATTCATATGAAATAAATCAAATAAATTCAAAATTGCAATGCTTAAAATACTTAAACGAAAATTTTATTTAGATACTTAACAAAAAATTTTAGAACTTTAGAGCACTTTTTTGTTTAATTTACTTCAAAGAAACCGAGTTTATTTATTCTAAGTAATTTTTAAATATTTTAGTTTTTTAAAACAAATCACTTGCTATAGCGTATGAAAAAATATCATTAAAAATACCTTAATTTTGACAAATTCTTAATATTCTTAAATTCTTCAAACTTTACATGTTTCTTAAAACTTAAATTAGTTTTTGGTTAATAATAAATTGAACAGTGTAACAACATATTGAATGCCTGTTAATCCGATCGATCTCTGCCAGAAGAATGCTTTTAAGGAGATGTGATGATGTCCGAAGCAGCTATCACTCCTACCATTTTTCTGTTGTTGTTGTTGTATAACAAAAATATTCAATTCATATAAACAAACAGGCCTCAGCTCTCTAAAAACTTAAAAAAGTGATATTAAAAATTTTCCGAAAATCCTTCACATATTAAATAAATTTAATAAAATAAACTTTTATAGGGAAATATTTAAAATCAATTAAAATTGCCCCGATTTTACATAAAAAATTCTAAAACTAAAAAAAAAGCTTATAATCTTAAAAGAAAAGCATTTAAACCACAGATTTCAACTTGCGAATCAGCGCCATTCCATTAGTTAATATGAGAAATATACATAACGAAATAATTTTGTTTTGTTTCGCCAAAATGTTATCGAAAATATATGAAATTGTTCATGTCCAACCACACAAATTCAAGGCTGAACGTTAATTTTAAAATAGCTGCCTGCTATGATATAAACAGCGAACTTCAATGTTAACGTTCAGCATTTTCTGTTATGATTTAACATCGTCTGTTATGATTTAACATTATCTGTTAATGATTTAACATTATCTGTTTACGATTGACATGTTCTGTTAACGGTTAACATTTTCTGTTATCGGCTAACATTATCTGTTAACGATTTAACATTAACGACAGATTTTCTTTTGGGACAAAAACGAAAATAAAAAAAAAAAATTCATATTTACTTTAAAGTTACCATTTCCAAATGTTTCAACAAAAACGATTGAAATTTTTGATTTACGGAAATTTTACCTTTCTGACGCAGTTTTGATTTAAGCTGCTTTAGAAAATGCATCCATAATTAAAAACTGAATTAAATTTGTTTTCATTGAAGTGTATAAATTTGGGAGTTTAGTAAAATTTTAAAATCGCATTTATGAGTCTTGAAGTTGTTGAAATATTTTAAATCAATTAAAAAATTTTTAATTTATTTTTATTTTTGATCAAAATTCTTACCAGAGGATGAGCCTAGGCTGAGGTATTAGATCAACTACAACTTGTCTTTATAAACCGTATTTTCAATTAATTTTTTTCTGCATTACTGATGGAATCGAAATTTTCCCCGTTCTACAGATTTAGTACTCTGCCTTCCATTCCATTTAAATTGCCTCAAAACTTTTTACACAATTCTATATCTTCCGTACCTCAATCGCAACAACGTTTTATCTTGTTGCAATTAATTTTGCGGAAAATGGCTAGATTTTGTATATTTGTATACGTCAATAATAACATAAATTTTTCAAAGATCACAGAGATTTTTGATTTTGAAGTTAAAAAATTATGACAAATTTGTTTTAATTACGCATTGTGAAACAATATAATAAAAAGGTGAAAAATTGGTTTTTATAAAGACAACTAAAAGGGCTTTTTCGAAAGAAGTTAAAGAATTCAGGAAGGTGGTATTAATGCCCAACAAAATACTTCTTGACTTCGAAAAATTATTTCAAACCCAGCTACTATTTGACTAAGTAGAGATAAAGATGCGAAAGTACTTGATCAATGTCTGCTGCCTTGTTGTTTTTCATTTTCACATATTCAAATGCAAGCAGCAAATTTTCAAAATGTTTTTTCTCTTCCTCTACTTTTTTCTATTTGGTCCGAACTTCGAATACCTAACTGTGATTATGACTACGAAACAACAACTTTCCAAAAAAAAAAAAAAGAAACAAAAATATTTTTCTCTTTTGTACACTCTGAGATATTATCAAAAATATTTTACAAAATGAAGTTAACAGAATTGAATTTTTTCCAAATAAGATATTCCCAAAAAAATCATAAAAAGGAATGCAAATCACTAAAGTACTACCTTAAAATGAACAGAAAAAATAAGTCTGTACTACCCCAATAAACAAGTAATACGAAATAAAAGAATGCACATTGCCTAAAATATTACTTATAATAGCCACTTTTCTGGCTTAAACTAAACTTTTCAACCGAAAATGCAGAATCAAATTTTGAATTATATTACGAGATTTTTAAAAAGTAATGCACCCAAGTACTTGGAATAAATAAATACTTATAATTCTGCTGCTGGCAGAGAACCATAACTCAGTTTAAAACATCATTATTCCTCATTCAGCAAAGCACAAAAGGCATTTCCCACAGGGCCTTTTAATTTATTCGAATGTATCAATCTTTACATACAACTACTATTGTTATGGGATAATACAAGTGTGCTGATTTGTATCTACACATATTTACATACTTATATAGTTACATTTTACAAACAAATATATGCATTTATACAGCCATGGACAGTGGTTTAACGACCTTATGTACAAATTTGAATTTTATTATTGTATTTTAGGAAATGAACAGTTCTTTAACACAATGTTAACATTATTTGCGATTTCGTTTTCTTTCTTTTATCATTTTTGAATAATAAAAAATATTAAACATAGTAGTTTCTAGGACAAAAATTACTGATACTCGTGCATGCGTTCAAAAGATCATTCATGAAGAAAATAGGTGGTGTTAAAAACTTCTTTATCAAATTTTCTCCGCCTAGTTACAATAATTATAGCTAATTATGATACCTTTTACCGAATTATATTACATTAAAAGAGAAATAAAACTCGTGCTCGGAGGCGGCTTGGTATAAATTGGTGATCGCTTAATTTTTTGGAAAACAACAAGACGCAAAACCGAAAATTGTAGAAGCTGCCAATTATATATTTACATTATTTTTTATTTTATATTCAACAACATATGTTAACACAGAAAAACATTTTTTAGTAAACTGTTATTTATTCTTTATAAAACAATAGCTGCAAAACGAAATTCAATTTCGGTATCAATATTTTATAAAATCATGAATCAAATACCTTAGTCAGGTCGATTCACTTTATCTATTATAATTTCGTCTTTATTAACATAAATTGTATGCTTAAAATACACATTATCTAGGAAAAAAAATAAAATTTTTAGATGAACCCAAGAAGGTCAGAAACTTTACTCCTATAGATGGCTACTAAATCTTAATAGAAATTTCACCACGTATGTGGAGTGTTGTTATTTAAAATAACTGTCAAATCTCTGTCAGATAAACTTTTGACATAAAATAAAATATAAGACAAAAAATAATTTTACTCATACCTAATTAATAACACGGAGATGATCTACTAATGTAAGATGACATTCCGTTTTTTTAATATGATAAATAATATCAACAAAGTGATTTTGTTTGGCTTCGGCGCCATACTATAATTGGAACTAATGTTAATGTTGAAACCGCACAAAATCAGCATTAAAATGGCTGCTCGTTATTATGTTAACAGTACGCTACAATGTTAACTTTTAACATAACCTGTTAACTTTTAACATTATCTGTTAACTTTTAACATTATCTGTTACCGTTTAACATTATCTGTTACCGTTTATATTATATGTTAACTTTTAATATTATGTGTTAACGATTTTGGAACATCTGCTAATTTTTAACATTATCTGTTAACTATTTAACATCATCTGTTAACGATTTAACAACATCTGTTAACGCTTTACCATTTTCTGTTAACGATTTATTATAATCTGCTAACTTTACAAATTATCTGTTAAAAACTTTACATTATCTCTTAACTTGTAACATTATCTATTAATATTTAACATTATCTATTAACTTTTAACATTTTCTTGCCAACGCTTATATTATCTGTTAACATGTAAATTATCAATTAACATGTAAATTATCTGTTCATTTTTAACATTATCTGTTAACGATTTAACATAATCTGTTAACTTTCAACATTATCTGTTAAGGATTTAACATTACCTATTAACAATTTAATATCATCTGTTTACGTTTAACATTAATCATAGCAATTCGCTTCGTTCAAAACGAAACAGAATTTGTTTTTATAATTGCTTTAACGTTAAAATTTCCAAATGTTTCAATCAAAACGTTTGAAATTATTAGTTTAGCGTAAAATGTACCACTACGATGCAGCCTTGCAATAATAGAAGAAAAAAATACATCTAAGAAAATTGCAATGTGATATAATAACTAAGTCACTAGTTGCATTCACTTTAACTCATTATTATTTAACAGGGAGTCTAAGCACTTTTTCTCAGCCCATGGCTGCATGAACAAATGGGATTTAATTTATATGTATGTGAGTGCATTAGCAGTGTTTGCCTGCCAATATCATTGTTTCCGCTTACGTTTACTATACGCCCCACAAACTCACACACACACACAAAATAAAAACAAAATCGCAGTGATCTGAAAACATGTGTAGTTGAATTTTTGCAATTGTTTAACCATGTCAAATATGCTAAGCAATGTTCCGAAAAAACTATTAAAAACCCATTTATTCATATGCTTTTTTTTTGTTGTTTGTTGTGGTAAATTCAGAAACTTTTGCGTAGGCTTATTATTTACTAATTTGTTGTACAAATTTACTTCG